AGGTATGGCCTCAGCTGTTTCATGTGGCTGGTTCCTACCCCTTGGTTAGAGAGAAAAGCTGGGAGGAGGGAATTAACCGTACATGCCTTGATGGAAACTTGATGGGCACTGTTAACTCCTTTTAAAGCTTAGACATGTGGGCATTGCCAGGCTTTGTGTCCCATCACAAGGTAAGAGAGACAGGCCTTTCCTTCCAGCAGGGTTATGTTCCAGCCCACAGGTCCTCAATCCTGCTGTTAGCATTTTGGGAAATGCCCACTTCCATCAGTTCTGAGATGCCAAGGTATCTGATCTTCCCAGGATGGCTCTTCAGGTATAGCCTGGAGTGGCAGACAAGTGACAAGCAAGTTCAGGGGCTGATTTGACCCATCACACACCTGTTTCATTCCATTTCCTTGTAAAACTTGCTGACTTCCTGGCCTGCCAAATGCACACAGCTAGTGGGCTGGGCTTTGGTACTTTTGTGCCCATCAGATCAGGCTCTTTATCAAGACTCAATTGTTTGTTCCCAAACTGGTTTATGGTAGTTGTGCTTGTTTCCATGGTTACGGAATTAATGGTGACATCATTTATGCAGATGAAGTAATAATGATAGCCACAACTCCAACTTTACAGATAGAAAACAGACACAGAGAGAGTAAGCAGCTGAAGGTTGTGTAGCTGGTACAGTTGGAGTTTGGAGCCAGCTGTGCAGTCTGGGTTCTCAGGCCCTGTACCTTAGAGCAGACAGAACTATTCTATTAATACCTATTGGCCACTTTGGTATCACTTTGGTCCTCAGGTTTGGTGGCAAGTGCCTTTACCCACTGAACCATCTTGTTGGCCTCTCTCTGGTGACATTTTATACTCAGTCTCTTTTGCAGGTGTGTTTAAACTTGCTCTAATAAAACCAAAACAAGATAAAGGCTGGAATAGAGCTAGTCAGCAGCCTATCCTAAGAGAGACCAGCTGCCCAAAGGGTGCACCTGTCTGTCCCCAGCTCAGTTACATGGGCTGGAGGGATGATGGTTCAGATGCTAGGAACACTTGCTTTTCAGAAGACCATGATGGTTCAGTGTCCAGCACTCTCAGCACGTGGTCACAACTGCCTGTAAGTCTACTTTCAGGAGGCCTAACACGTTTGTTTGGCCTCTGAAGGCACGAGCCACGCACACATATACACAATAAATAAATGTTTAAAAATATAAAAGAAAACCCTGATAGGCATAGTGGCACATGCCTTTCATTCTGGAACTCAGGAGGTAGAGGCAGGTGGGTATGAGTTTGAGGCCAGCCGGATATCCATAGTGCCACCGGGCCAACCAGAGATATATAGTAAGACCCTGTCTCAAAACAGCAAGAAGAATCAGGTATGTCAAGAGAATGTGGTATTCATAGGAAAGTTGCTTTGTCTAGCTTTTTAAAATGTGTGTGTGTGTGCGCCTGCGCTCATGCGCGCACGTTTCTGCATACTTATCTGTGAGGATATCCAGTTCCCTGAATAAAAACGTTACAGTTGTGAGCCACCATGTGGTGCTGGAAATTGAACCCAGGTTGTTTGGAAGAGCAATTGGTGCTCTTAACCTCTGAGCCATCCCTCTAGCCCTTGTCTAGTTTAATTAACTGCTGTACCTATGTAGCTCTGCTGTCTCAGTCACTGAGGAAATAGATGAGGATGTTGCTGGCACAAGTGCTCTGTGTACTGAGGGCTTCCTCTGTGAGGAGGTAACATGGAGTTGTAAACACTTGAGCACTGCGTGCTTTTCCAGAGGACCCAGGTTCAATTCCCAGCACCCCGGGGTGGCTCACCACCATCTGTAACCCCGGATCAGGGGATCCGACAACCTCTTCTGGCCGCCTCAGAGAGCAGGCATGCATGTGGTGCACTTACATGTATGTAGGCAAACACTCATATAAAAACAAATCTTCAAAACAAAACAAAACAAACCCTCAGGGCAGCATTCCATGGCACAGAAGCATGGAACTGGGCCCAAAGAGGAGAAAAACATTGGTAGGATAAAATTAATTTGAACACATATGTTATGATATGAAATTCAGAGTACTTATTTGTGTCATGATTTTTGTCATAAATGGCTTTGAGAACATTAATATTTCACAAAACTTGTCTGTGCACTGCCAAGCATTATTGCTGCCATGATTCCTCCCTTGGTTTCGTAAGAAGGCATAAAACGCAGGCGGTGAAACAGATCAGTGAAGCAGATCTTATCCTTCTGAGGAGTGAAAACAGACACTGGTAGGACAGAGGCCATGTGCAAGGGAAGGCCATGAGGATGTTCTTGAATGGCATAGGGTAGTTACACCTTGATGCAGCCTGCTGTGAGCTGTTTCTGTGATCACCAGCTTTGTTCCGACAGTCCAGGTCAGCAGTGACTGTTTCTCTTCCCACAGTGGAAGACATCTGCTTCCTGCCCAGCGAAGGTGAACTAGGTCTGCCCATCCCACAGTATGTTAGGCTGCTATTGGTTACCTCATAGGATGGGCTGTCCTGGCATGGGGCAAGAAGGTGCAGGCGATCTGGCTAGCTTGTACCTATGTCCAGGGTTGTTCATGGTACCCACTACTATCTAAACCTGGACTAGGATCCAGAACCTTTTTCTAGCAAGGAAGGGGCCTCAGTCTTAGCCACACTACAGGAAGGCTGTTCCTGAAGCTAATGAACTCCTGCTTAAGGAGGAGTCTAGGAATTGGGCTGCCGTTCCTGAACCAAGTGCTTCCAGGGCCTTCCAGCAAGCAGTGCTTGGAGTGGAGAATGTGGGGTTTCCAATCCTTCCCCTGTGGGGCTCTCTTTCTTCTGACACCTAGTTGGGCCCCATACCAGCTGTCGGGTGCTAGATTTCCACCCACCCACACAGAGTCTGCGTGTGGGAGGTTAGACGAAGAGTTGGTTCATGGAGATAATGGAGTCAGAACCTTCTGTCTTGTGTTCTAGAGGCCTCAAGCCCTAGGTGTAGTAAGCAGGGGCTCTGGAGCCAGACAGGCTGGCTTTGCCACTTCTCAGCTGGCTAGACAAATTATCTAGTATCACTCGGAATCAGTGGGGACAATAACAGCACCTATAGGACTGAAGCATCACGGTGCTTAAGTGAACTTATAGGTGACAGTGAGACATGGCTATCATCCCAGCTCTCCAGAGGTGGAGGACAGCCCTGAGTTAGATGCCAAAGCATTATGCATCTTGAGTTCCAGCCAGGGCTACTTAGTGAGAGCGTTTAAAAAAGAAACAAGGACTAGAGAGATGGCTTCATGGTAAAGAGCACTTGCTGCGCTTCCAGAGAACCTGGGTTCAATTCACAGCACCCACATGGCAGCTTACAACTGTATATAACTCCTGTTCCAGAGGATCCAATACCCTCTCACGGACATACTTGCAGGCAGAACACCATTCTCTTAAAAACAAAAACAAACAAACAAAAAGGTGTTTGGCGTAGCACACCTTTAATCCCAGCATTCAAGAAGCGGAGGCAGGGGGAATCTCTGTGAGTTTGAGGCCAGCCTTGTCTACAGAGGAAGTTCCAGGACAGCCAGCTTTACACAGAGAAACCCTGTCTAGAAAAACCAAAATAAATAATAAACTAAAAGAAAAGCCCAAGACAAACTGGAGACATTACCTGTGATGCTCACACTTGAGAGGCTAAGCGAACTGGAGCCTAGCCTAAGACAACCTCTAGGGTCTGGGTATGTGGCTCAGTGGTAGAGCCTAGTGTACAGTCTTCTGGGCTTCATTCTCAGACCAAAAACCAGCCCTCTGGATGTTAGCTCTTATCATCACTCAGGTTCTGTTGTTGGTTTGTGTTTTGCTTTTGAGAAAGGGTCTTACATAGTCTTCAGCAGCCTGGAACTCACAGAGGTCCACCTGCCTCTGTCTCTGTGTGCTGGGATTAAAGGCGTGTTCAACTCTGAATCCTAAGTCTTAGGGGCCAAGGACAGGTGGATTCTTAGGGTTTGTGTTTGCTTGTTTGTTTGGGTCTTCAAGAATCTAAGCCTGTCAGGCAAGTCTGTGGATACCAGGCAGTCAAGCCAGCCACTGAGAGCTTCTGTCAGGCCTGTCAACTGCCTGACCGGCCTGGCTGCCAGCTAGAGGCATAAGGGACTGACTTCCCCTAGTTGTGACCTGTCTTCAAGGCAGGCAGAGCTCTGCTCCCAAGCAAGCAGAATGTGTGCTGCAGACTTGGGTGACAGACGTGAGTAACTAGAGTCCTGGCCCTGTGGAGACTTGCGTGTCTGTCCCCCTCCCCCATGTTTAGGTCTGTCGCTGTATGTCTGGAAGAAAGTAGCCTTTAGGGAAGGAGGCCTGACAGCCTTTCAGCAGCACCATTCTTTAAAATGGGCCCATCTTGGGTTAGCTTCTGTTTAGAGGGCCAAATACTGACAGTCCATAATTGCAGAGCTTTTAAAGCTTGTCCAGCACCATGTTAGACTTGGGCCATCCTGCTTTATACTCCTATCATATCCCAGGAAGTAGGTCTAATCATCTCACCTCGACTAATCATCTCGCCAGAAGGAAACCTAGCTTAAGAGGATTGGGTCACAAAGCTGGCAAGTGTCACAGGGTGTGTGAGCTGAGCCCAGTCAGCAAATAGGGACAGAACAAAGGGTCAGGGTACAGATGTGATAGATAACACTAAGGGCCTTACCTTTCTTCAACTGTAGAAAATTGGGAGGATCCAGTGGCCTGAGGCTGCCAGTGTGAGGTATACAGACAGAAGTTAGGACAGTAGGAAATGTTAAGAGTTCTCCCTAGGCCCCAGCACCTGTCCTAGAGCACCAACCTCCATCACTCAGCAGAGTGGCACTCTGGAAGTCAGGGCTTGGTAGATGATGTAAAGTACAGTGTTGCTGGTGTCCCTGTGTGATTTTCCAGCTTTCATGGCACAGGAAGAGCAGTAGCCCGGCAAGAACAGTCACTGGTCATGTCCCTGGAATTCTGACACTGCCCTCTTGATGCACAGTGCCGAGCCATACCTCATAAACACATAACCAAAAAAGCTTTTACTTGGAAATAAACAGACAAATTTCAACTAGAATACTGACATGTTCCCCCTCCCCCTCAGCAGGAGGTTTGGAGTCTAGTAAATTGCACAAAGTCCCTGATGAGTTCACTTCTCTTTGGCATGTCAGCAGAGCCGCAAGGGGCAGCTCCTCACAGGTATGAGCTGCTCCCTATTAAAGTATGGGGCCCCGAAAAAGTACAGCTTAGCAGAAGACCCAGGTGGTCTTCTGAGGGCAACACATTCAGGTCTTCCTAAGCACTGTGTCCATGGCAGACTGAGCAACTTTGTTTCCTTGATGAGGGTCCAGATGACCACCCCATCACCTGGGCAAAGCCAGAACTGGGGCCAGGGAATCTTTGTCTGGGGAGGAAAGTGGCTGGGATGAGAGCCTGTGTCACAGTCCTGGAGGGTCCCTGTCCAGCTTTTCTTCGGGCATCTCGCTGTGGTCCTTCATCTGCGTCTTCTGGGCCACATTCGGCTCTTCCGTTCTCTCCTCCTAGAGCAGCAGTGAGTGCAGCAGCAGCTGCAGATTAACAGCAGCAACAGCAGGACAGTAGCTGAAGGGAGAGAATGGCCCAGAGCTGAAAAGCCAGGGGAAGAAGGGATGCACCCTCCTTCTGAAGGACCTCCCCACAGGTCTGGTGCAGGTCTGAAAGACCTGAGAGGCGGACAGGGTCCTGTTGTCTCTGGCTACACTGCCCATTGACTCCTTTTTACTCCTTTCAATTTATAGTTGGTGCCTGATGGTATCCAGTTCCCAGCACTACCTAGCAACTCAGGCAGTATCAAAGGATGCAGCAAATCCCTTAGCTTCCTCCAGGACACTGCCTTTCCTACTAATAGGAAGGCTCACCAGCCTTCCAGCTGGCACCGTGGTTTGGTCTCGCGGATATCAGGAAGAGCCCATGGGCTACAAGGGGACAGGGTTAAAGGGTTAGAGGACAGGGGCCCCACTTGCCTGTGAAAAGAACGATGATGGAGAAAGCCACAAGCTCCACGGGATCAGCCTTGGGCAGTCCTTGCAGCTTCAGAAGCAGCCGGTCTCCCACCGAGCGAATCTCCTCTACAAAGTCTGTGCTTGGCATTTTGCTAGGGCTCCCGTGTTCTGTAAGAACACAGAGACAGGGAGAGCGCCTTGGAGTCCTGCCGAGCTGCTCACGGGCTGGGAGGGAGAGCCAGGGACCAGCCTCTCCCACCATAGCCTGCAGAACAGGTTTGTCATCTCAGCCCTGAACCACTGGCAGGGGGAGGCAGGGAGTCATAGAAGTCTGCTCATTGGTGGCCCTCAGTCCACAGCTGGCTGGAGCTGTCCTGAGCGAGGAAATCTCATGACCTGGAGAGCCGCTGAAGAGCTACCAGGCAAGGCCACAGTTGGTGAAGGTTCTGACCATCAGTTGTTATGACTTTACTAGCATTCCTTTGTCTTGAGACACCAACACCAGGTGTGGCTGGCCCTTCTCTGGCTTGTTCAGGATTGTGGTGCCTCTCCTAGATGCCCTCAGGGTGACAAGACAGGCCTCAGGATTCTGTGTGGGAGGAGAATCAGACTCCAAGAACAGGTTCATGGGGACTCTCAGCTGTGGGTGGAAACTGAGGAAAGGGTTGTCACTTGAAGGCTATGAATGATGTGAGACCCCCTCTCCTAGCAGGCCAATTTCTTTACTCATATTACTGTTATGGAAGGAAGGAAGGAAGGACCACACAGTATTCCCTAGGGGTCTCATTTATTCAGAGGGGAGCTGGGGTTCTAAGACTACTCGACCACTTCTTCCCCTCTTGGCTTGGGCCTTTCTGTTGTAACCAGGAAAGGCCTCTGTCTGCAGAGTGGTGACTGGTCAGGGCTCCTGGAAGGATCCTAGGCAAAGCTCTTGGCTGAGTTTGTGTGTTGGGCCCCATTGAGCATCAGTGCCTTCCCTTACATCTCTCCAGTGAGTGAGAAGGAACAGGGACGGCCATGTGCCAGTGCATCCAAACTGGTTCTTCCTGAGGGATGGGAGCAGGTGATCGGGGCTTGTGTCTTTGGTAATTGCCACCTTGGCCCTGGTCTCAACTGGGCAGGGGGTTCCCTCTGCTGTGGTCTTTGATACTGGTCTCTCCCAACACTCCTGCCTGGCACATAGCAGGTCTAAAACTCCCTGAAGGTCATGTGATAGGGTCATCCTGTATGTGGGCTCTGTCCTTGCGCTGTGCAGCCTCTGAGAGTGAGACATGGCTGCCACCCTTCTAAAACCCTAATAGCTCCTCAGGAACTCAATCACAGCTGCCAAACGTTTGGATTTCCTTTCTAAAGTACCTATAAAAGTGCCTTCTCTGAATTTGTTGTTCACTTTGTTTTGTTTTCACTTTCGTCTACTGGAGAATGGACTCCAGGGCCTTTCTTTTTCTAGGCAAGTATATCTAGGGATATACGGAGCTATATCCCCAGCCCTGTGGTACTTTCTCCAATGTCACCTGTCCTTCATACAGCTGCATACAGCTGTTTTAGTATTCCCGTCTCAGGCCCTCCTCTCTTGTGCCATGAACAGGCTCTTTATCTTTGTGCTTTTATGCAGTTGAGAAGTCTTAGGGAGGGGCCTGGCTGCAGGAACTTTCTCTGGCTGAGGCCTGACAGGGCCACAAAAGTCAGGATAGACCCAGCCAGTGCCCCTCCTAGTATCCATACACTCATGATGGAGGCCTGCCTGGCTTTGAGCTGCCACTTAAGGTGGCCAAGTTCTCCTGAGTCATGGCCCATTTGTGGGTTCTGTGTAAGAACCAGGCTATCCCTCTTTGGAAGCCCATGAGTTGAGCACAGTCAGCATCTTGTGGGTCTGGGACATCAATTTTATCAGATCAACACCACTAGAGCAGGGCACGCCAGGCTTTTTGAGAACTGTATGTGTTATTTGTCACTAAATGAACAGATCTATGTGTCTTGCTAATGTGACCATAAGACCATTCATTCTGGTCAGACCAAAAGAGATACTACTTAGAGCCAGTTGGAGTGTACTTGAAAACAAAACAAAACAAAACAAAACACTGATCCATCCACTCTCCTGTCTGGAACCTCAGTACCATTTCCACTCCAGAACTAGTGTGCATGTAGTTCAGAACCAGAGCTCTGGTTTCTTACCCTCCCTCTTCATCTGTGTTTGGTCTGGCTTTTCAGCATGACTGGCACTGTGCCCACATTGCATCAAGAGCCCAATGGACACATTCCTTAAAAGCAGAAGTAGGCAGGAGGCTGGTGGTCAGGAGAGCTTTCTCATTTTCGAGCCACACCCAAAGACCTCAAGAGAGATAGCGGTGAGGGAGGAAAGAGGCACCTGCCTGGGGGTTTGGCGGGGTTGGTGGGGTTGGCGGGGTTGGGACCCTAGGTCTAGATGAAAGATCTAGCAACATCCAATTTCCAGAGCAGGGGAGAAGGCAGTAGGCGGGGGCTGGACCTGCTGTGCAGGGAAGATGGAATGTGTTGATCAGAAGTTCCAGCCATCAGAGCTACTCCCGGCTTCTCTCATGCCTTCCCCACTCTTCCCTGCACTTTGCATGGCTTGTGAAGTTGGAGAGCTGCAGGCTCATGCCCAGTGCACCCATGAGTGTGGACCCCCTCGTGCGGGCAGCCTCATAGCTTTGTGCCCAGAGCTTCTATAGGCAGCCCACTGGGAGATGGTGGGGCCTGGTCACATACGACAGCCCTGGGATCTGTCATGGGGCTGCCTGCCAGGTCTTGTCTGGTTTACCAGCAGAAGTAGGGCTGTTGGGTATGGCTCTCTGCCCTCAAAGGGCTGAAGAGGAACCCACTTTGCTTGGCAGTTGATTTTTTGTTATTTTAAGCTCTGACCCAACAGAACAAGCACATGACAGAGGGGGGGGAGCAAAGGGGTCTTGTTCTCCAAAGAGGAAAGAAGCACATTCCAGCAGGTCCCCAGGCGTCTTCCCAGTGGGCTATTTAAAGCGGACGCCTGATGCCCAATATAACCAATGGATGTCAGGTGACCTTGCTCCCCAGCTGTGGTCAGGGGGAGTGGGAGCTCTGGGGCTGGCCCCATTGACTGGATACCCCACTAGGGTTGGGCAAAGCCAAGCAGAGCTACTGGTAATTCTGTTTCTTGGACTTTGTAGCCCAGGCTCACCCAATTCTTTCTAAACCAAACTTTATGCCCAAGAACCCGGGGAACTAGAGTGTCTCGGTGCTATGTTCAGCAGAACAAGTGGTAGCTTCCCCTGGTCTAGGAAGAGAGAACAGGCTTGGCTGTCTCTGAGGCCCACCTGTTGCCCCAGATGCCTGCACAGCAGTTGGAGCCTCCAGTTCCCTGCCTGGGGTACAGTCCGTGGTCAGGGAGAGCTAGTACAACAGAGAAGGAAACTGGCCAACCTGGGGGCGGGGGGTCTGGTTGCTGTTCCTGTGTGTGGCAGGTGGCATGGAGGTTCTTGCTGTAGTGTGTGCCACTGTCCTGTAGGCCAGGCAGCTGCACCTTGGTACCACAGCTTCTCTTCTTCCTCTTCATAAACCTGATAGTCCAACTCAAGCTCCCCACGTGGACAGGGCCAGGCAGTGTGTCTGTACCTGATAAGCAGTGTCACTGATGTCTTGCTGCCCCAACGGGCATCTTGCTGTACCCTGTCGTTTTGTCATGGTGGCTCTCAGCCCTTTTGTTCTGCAGTCTTGAGAAGCATCTTGCATGAGGCGTAACCAATAGCTGTGAGAGTCCCGAGGGGTCCAGAGGGCCTGACCAGCAGGGCGGAGATGCCCACTGTATACCACGCTGAGTGTCTGAGCAACTTCCTCTCTGCTGGGACTCCAGTTTGAAATCAAAGTGGCTGCTTGAGGCCTTGGTGGCTCTGCTGTCCTGGTCCCCAAGCTTTCCAGAACAGGGATGGGGCTTCCTGCTCTGGGGACCATCAGACACTGAGCTAGTGCCAGGATGTGGTGGCGCACGCCTTTAATTCCAGCACTTGGTAGGCAGAGGCAGGCAGATCTCTGTGAGTTTGAGGAAAGCCAGGGCTACACAGAGAAACCTTGTCTCAAAAAACCAGAGAGAGAGAGAGAGAGAAACTAAGTGAGCTCCTCACCTATACCCATAGAAGTTGGGCTTCCCTCTTAGCTCAGGGACTGCTGGAACCTGTGTTTTGTGGGTGCAGGACACTCCCTGGAGTCTTGTGGCTAGCAGCTCACTGCCATGCCCCTCTCTCACCTCTCCCGATCCACTGTCCCAGTTGTGGCTCAGCTTCCGACCAGTCCCCTCTGTGCCGCACACTTGTCAGTATGACCACAGGAGTTACATTCCCAGCCCCGCACAAGCCAAAAGCCACTCCCTCTGCTGAGCTTTCTCCTTGCTTTCCAATCCTGAATGATGTTTTTCTTTCTTTCTGGATAACACCTTTGCTTTGGAAGGAACATCTCAGGGGAATTTGACCCCCAGTGTGAGGACAGGAGACAGAAGGGGTGAGCAGCCTCCCCTTGTGAGGGAGGCCCTGCCCAGGAAAGTTGTGCTTGTGGTGCTTGCTCTGCCCAAGGAATGAACCAAAGAACTGCCCCGGAGTTGCCATTACAGTGGTGGAGCGTGGAGGAGAATCCTGGGGTCTTTCTCCAGCCTCATTCATGTACTCACCATCTCCCCTCTAATCCTGGCTTTAGAATCAGGCATGCATGTCCCTGGCTCAGTTTTCAGAGATCATGGCCAAAGAAGGATCAAAGGGGCCCTAGGATTCTAAGTGGGTACAGTTTTCAGAGATCAGCTCCTCCCTGGGATGATCCTGAGCTGAAAACACATGGCAACGAGCAGGTCAGAACTCCAAAAGGCACGGGGTCGGCTGCTTTTGTCCAGCACCCAAATAGGCAGTTCTGCTGTGGGCTCTACTAGAGCCTGGGGAGGGAACCAATGAGTGGGCTGGACAGGCCTTGTCCCAAGCCTTCTTGAGAAACAGGGAGGCCTCAGCCCTAATCCTTGGGGAAGTGGAGGCTCAGCAGACATGAGGGCCCTGTTTTAAGATCCCTGGATAGAAAAGACTTAAATTGATATGCTACCTCAGCAGACCCTAGCCCCTCTCTACACAGCAAATGACAGTATAGTCCTCTTTCTTTAGTACTGTCCCAGAGGTCCTAGGGGAAGAGAGAGCTCAGGTGTACACAGGAGGTAACTACATTCCCTGTAGGAGAGTGGCCCAATGTATCGCCCAAGACATTCCTCTCCGAGATCATAGTAACTATGGCTCCTCACCCTTGAGATAGGAGACCCTGGCTGCCTGTGTCGCTTACCTGGGAGTCGCCACTGGGGAGCCGAGAAGAGGTGCTCCCGTACAGAGCCTCCTGTGCCTTCTCTCAGTCGTTTGGCCACCACTCTTGACTTCCTGCACCAGCGCCCGCCACCTTCCTGCCCTGCGGGTCGCTGCTTCGGGCGCCTCTTCACGTTAGCTCTTGGCTGCTGACAACCAGCTGCTGTCCAGCTTCAGCTTTTTTGTTGTTGGTTGTCCTGGAGATGTAGGTCTCAGATTACCACTGTGAGGCAGAGCCAGAGGGAGCCCTGCCCTGAGCTGTCACACACTTCACACCCAGTGCCTTTCCCTGCCTTGGAGGTCCACTCCGCTCTCCAGATCCCCCCGAACAGCTCCCTCTCTTACCCTTCCTCCTGCTCTGCCCTTCTCCAGCCTGTGGGCCAGGCTGTAGGCTGAGGGCTGGGGCTGGGCTAATGACAGAAGTGGTTGGCTGTGGTTCCCTGTGGAAATACCCCCCCAGGGGCTCAGTCAGAGGCGGCTGGGGGAAGAGGGTGGAGCAGCTTCTTCTTGAGCGCCCCACAGCCACCCTCTGGATGGCCTTTTTGGCTTGTGTCCCTGACCACCACCCCGGCCTGTCTCTTGGCCCACTCACTGGCTGCTCCCTCTGGCCTCTCCCAGGAAGAAAGAAGAGTTACAGGACCACCCAAGCAAGTCAGCAAACTTTCAAGCAGCCTTCTGGTATGATACTCCTGCCACTCAGCACCCAGAGGCATCTTGTGGAGGAATGAGAGGATCCTAGATATCTTAAAAGTAGCCTGCTTGTTTGGGGGAGGGGCCTGGTGGCCCTCCTAAGAGAAAGGACACTGCTGGTCTCAGTCTGCTCAGCTGTCTCCACACTCCTAGCCCATTAACGTTCCACCAGGCTGCAGTGGGGGAACTGACCTCAGCCAGGCAGTCAATGGAGCCTTTGAATCTGAGCACAAAACCCCAGTTAGTCAGAGCTTGGGGACAGGGTGTCGACAAGCATATGGCCACAGCGCTTAGAGTCCAAAGCTTTTCAGAGGCAGGACAAGCCACCACTGTACAGGCAGCAGTCTTGAGCTGAGGGAACATTTGTCCTGTCTATTCATTGTTAGTGGGAGCAGGCTGCATGAGCGCCCCTGGTGGCTGTCTCTGCTGTCCTGCTGCTTCTATCCGGTTTTAGGACTGTGTTCTTCCTCTTGCTGGAGGGACCCTACTTATCTTTGCAATGTTACAATTTGCTTTGGTTACAGTAGCCTGCTCTCTGGGGTCAGATCCCCAAGCAGTGCTCATTCTAAGAAGACCTGTTTAGAAGCAATTAGTGCCAGCTAGTCAAGTTTAGACACCCAGACTGCCCTGCCTTTGGCATCTTTCCATGGTTCCCCAACCCTGTACCCCATTTCTAGCATAGAAATGACACAAGAACCGTGATAGAACAGTGCCCTCTCCCAGGGCCTCAGCATGGTCCTCGTGGACCAGGTAGAGGCTGCTTCCTGCCACCAGCTTGGGCAGAGAGTGGTTATCCACAGGGAACATGTGCAATTAGAAGGTGAGAGGGAAGCTCTCCTGAGGCTGTATCTCCCTGGCTTGGGTTCACCAGTGACTAAGCATGATGGCACTCTCAGGACAGTGGGTCTGTCTCTCTAATACAGCCTTCCTGCTGCTGCGACACTCTATTTCAGCTCCTCATACTGTGGTGACCCCAACCATAACATCATTTCAAAACTGTAATTTTGCTACTTTTATGAATTGTAATATAAATATGTTTTCGGATGGTTTTAGGTGACCCCTATAAAAAAGGTCAAGACCTATAGGTTGAGAATCAGCTGCTCTAGGATCTGTGCCAGGTGCAGCCCTCAGCCTAGGGCAGAAGAGCTCGTGGTGGGAGCCGGGGGGAGGTAGAGGTCTCTAAGGAAAGATCAAGATACAAGAGAAAACTGGATGTGGGAGCTCATGCCTCTAATCCCAGGATTTAGGAATCTGAAGCAAGAGGCTTATGAGCTCAAGGCCACCCTGAGCTATAGCAAGACCTTACTTGTTTTGTTTTGTTTTGTTTTGTTTTGTTTCAAGACAGGGTTTCTCTGTGGAGCCTTGGCTGTCCTGGACTCTCTTTGTAGAACAGGCTGGCCTCAAACTCAGACATCCTCCTTCCCCTGCCGCCCAGGATGCTGGGATTACAGGCATGCACCACTGAGTCTAGCTACTGAGATCCTATTTTAAAAGACAAAACAAAAGAACTAGGTGTGGTTGTACGAGCATTTAATCCCTGCCCTTGGGAGACAGATACAGATTTTTGAGTTCTGAGGCCATCCCAGTATACAGGGATGTGTACTCAGTAAATTCTGGGCCAGTCTCAGCTACATAGTGAGACCCTGTCTCTAAATAAATGACTGGGAAGGAAGAGACGAGCAGACAGGGTCCCGAAGACAGGCGAGGCCCTCTCTTGTTCTTCCCTCCTCTCCCACAGTGAGGGATATTCCCTGTAGAACATCTCATTAGTGCTCAGAGCCATTATGACCACCGTCATGCTCCATGTACCCCTGCTCCACTAGCAGCGTAAGTGGAGAGGCCATGGAATTCAGTGTTTTACTGACTTGGTGGCAGAGACTCAACTTTCCAGGACATTCCACCACTGTGGGTAGAGGGAAGAGCAGGGCACTAGAGCTCACAGTAACCAAACAGAATGAGGTTCACATCCTGGATCCCACCTGCCCAGCATCTTCTCTGACTGTAAGAAGGCTGCTTTTATCCTACTGGCCCCAACTCTGCAATGGACAGCACCAGAGGATGCTTCACAAACCCTTGTGAATAAAAGGGTACAGGACAGGGACTGGAGAGATGGCTCAGAGCTTAAGAGCATATACTGTATTTGCAGAGGACCCTAGGTTCCAATGTTCTTAGCACCCCATAGTGGCTCACAACCATCCATAACAATTGCCAAGTGACTGACTCTCCTGACCTCCTCAGGCACTAGGGGTTACTGATATACATAAACTTAATTTTTTTTAAAGATTTATTTATTATGTATACAGTGTTCTGTCTGAAGGTCAGGAGAGGGCACCAGATGCCACTATAGATGGTTGTGAGCCACCATGTGGGTGCTGGGAATTGAACTCAGGACCTCTGGAAAAGCAGCCAGTACTCTTATCCTTTGAGCTATCTCTCCAGCCCCCCTAAAATTTTTTTGAAAGATAACATCAAATGTGGTGCTAGGATAGTGAATCAATCAGTGTTTAGAGACTGGGTGAGCAAACACTGGCCTGCCTCAGTCCCTCATCCCATTGGCACCTCCTATTTCTAGGTGCCGCCATGCTGCCATTGCTAAGTTCTTTGGGGATGTACCACCTGCCTGCGCCAAAGGCTGTGACTACTGCCAGAGCCCTGCAGCCCTAAAGAACAAGCTTGATGCCCTGGAGCGCAGCAGCAGCTGGAGCAAGACCTGCATCAGGCCCTACAAGGAGAATGGCTTTGACCCTGAGCTGTATGAGGGAGGCCGAAGGGGCTATGGGGGCTTCAGCAGGTGAGTAGCTATGAAATGCATAATCATTCCACTAGTGCTACCCAGGCCAAAGGAGGTCTTCCTGCAGTGTTGACATGTGACCCTTCTCAGGGCCTGGGCTTTAATGTTGTGCTGGAACATCACTGGCCATCAAGTGGCATCAGTGGGGAAGAGCAGAGCTCTGACCTTGGCTGCTCACACTTAGCCTGTCCTGTAGGTATGATGAAGGTTCTGGAGGTAGCGGTGATGAAGGCAGAGATGAGGCCCACAAGCGGGAATGGAATCGTTTCTATCAGAAACAGATGAGCCTGCGCAAGGTAAGGAACAGAGTCCTTGATGGGAGTTCAGTGGCTCTAGTGGTTTAGTTTCTATTGCTGTGGCAAACACCATGTATAACTGAAAACAACATGGGAAGGAAAGGGTTTATTTGGCTGACATTTCCACATCACAGTTCAGCATCAGGGGAAGTCAGGGCAGGAACTTGGAGGCAGAACTGAAGCAGAGACCACAGAAGAATGCTTCCCACTTGCTCAACTTAGTTTTTTATACAACCAGGAGCACTTACCCAGGAGTGGCACAACCTACAGTAATCTGTATAATCTGGGCCCTCCCACATCAATGAAGAAAATGCCCCCACAGAGCAGTCTACCAGAGGCAATTCCTCAAGTGAGGGTCCCACTTCTCAGGTGACCCTCGTTTCTATCAAGTTGAAAACAAAACAAAACAAAAACCTAAGCCAGCAGCATGGTGGCACATGTCTTTAATCCCAGCACTTAGGAAGAAGAGGCAGATGGATCTGAGTTCAAGGCCAGGGACTGACAACATGGTGAAATCCCATCTCAAATGTACCACTTCCCTAAAAAAAAAAAAAAAGTTATATGTATATATAACCAGCATACAGTGGTCTACACAGGGTCCTGGATGATCCCTGGATGGTTCCCCGCTCATGAGCTCTGTCCCTTCTCCTGAGCTGGAGCAGTGCAGGATGTCTCATGGCCCCTCGTGCTGTCTGTCTTCCAGGGCAAGGAGCCCAAGATAGAAGAATTCATACCCCCAGGTTGGTTCAGAAATGCTCCCAGGGGCCTGAGTGCTTTGTCTGGGTGTAAATAGTGAATGACTTGGTGGAGGGTTGGAGGACTCCGGAGAGCTGGTCAGGTGGAAAGCCCTTCCTCCCCTATTCTCAGATGAAGATTGTCCCCTGAGAGAGGCTTCAAGCAGGAAGATCCCTAAGCTCACAGTGAAGGTAAGAGAATGGTGCCTCTTCACTTTCCCTCAGGGTCCCTCCCTGATCCTGAGGGCGGGTGACTGAGATGTCACTCTCATAGGCCCGTGAGCACTGCCTGCGACTTCTGGAGGGTGCTCTCAAGAGTAATCACCAGGCTGCGGGGTCCGCTCATGGGTGAGTGCTCTGAGGTGACCAGGGTAGGGAACCAAGGGCTATTCCTTCAGAGGTTGCCTCTACAGATTGTGACCCATTCTAGTCCATAGCCCCAGTCCCCACAGCCCTATTAGGAGTGTACCAGAGAAGGACGGAGGCTGTTGACAGTGAGCCACAGGGTGCCTGGAGCATCCTCATCAGAGTCCCTGTACTCCTCACCAGACCATGAAGCTAGCCCGTGGCCCCTGAAGAGAAACCAGCCAGACCACGGAAATGGATTCAGATCCACCTGTTCTCTTGCTCTCATTCCTTCCCACAGAGCTGACCTACGGGCCGAGGCAGTGGAACTGGAGCATGAGACATTCCGAAATGCCAAGATGGTCAATCTCTACAAGGCCAGTGTTCTAAAGAAGGTAGGCCTAGGTAGGGCCAAGGGGGCAAGTGGGGCAGAGCATGCTCATGGGCTTAGGACAGACAGGGCGGCCTTTGTCTTCAGAGGTCATCTGCCAGTCTCCTGGCCCTGGAGCCAGTGACGCCAGCTCATCGTTGGCTAACTGTACGTGTTCTGGGCATCCCAGGGAGAGCTCACTTCCCCAGCACCCACTTCCCGCTCATGCACAGCAGATTTGGAGGGTCCAGATTGGGACTACGCAGTACCTTGTGGGTACCTTGATCTCCCTGCCTGCCCTGCTTTAGGTGGCTGAGATCCACAAAGCCTCCAAGGATGGGCAGCTCTATGAGATGGAAGGTGGCACCAAGAGTTGCAGTGCCACAGCTGAGCTCTTGGAGCCCAGTGACTATGACATCCCACCAACCTCACACGTGTACTCGGTGAGCAGCATCCAGGAACCCACTCCAACCTAGGTTCAGGGAAGGGTCCACTTTCCCATTGCCCTCAGGGGGGACAGACTTAGCCTTTCCTGGCACCACAGCCCAGCCCTGCCCTACCAAGACGTCAGGAAAGGTCTTAGTGCATCTGTGCTCTGCCTGCTGCCTGTCTGTCAGCCGTGGCCTCTTTTCCCATCAGTCTGATCCCCAGTTGTGTCCTGTTCAGCTTTCCTCCCACATCCCTGAGAACCTCTCACCACAGCTGCCCTTGAAGTCTGGAGTTTTGAGCCTTGTGACTTCCTCCTTCTCACAGCTCAAACCCAAGAGAGTAGGAGCTGGCTTCTCCAAAGACCCCTTCCCATTCCAGACAGCCACAGAACTGTTGAAGTCTCAGAGCCAGGAGCAAACCCCTGAGTCCATGCTGGAGGTTGAACAGGAGAGCCCAGGCTGGGACCTTAACCTTCGAGAAGAAGACAGGAGCAAGCCCTACCCTGGGTGCCAAGAAGAGGCTCCTGGAAATAGTGTTAATTGTGGGAAGCCCTCGCCTAAGAAGAGGACAAAAGGCTCTTCCCAGGGCAGTGCCAAGGCTAGAGCCAGCAAGAAACAGCAGCTCCTGGCCACAGCAGCCCTCAAGGAGTCCCAAAATATCACTCGGTTCTGTCAAAGAACAAAAAGCCCGTCTTTTCCTGCTTCGGTCCCACGCTCAGAAGATGCCAGCCCCTCCTGTAGTGGGGTAGCAGAGAGGTGCACAGAAGAAGCTGGAGCCCAGGGACATTCGGCTGCTGTGTTTCAGACTGAGTGTCCCAGGGAGGGACCAAGGTAAGAGTTCAGGAGTTATGGCTGCACCTGTGAATCCTGAAGCTTGTTCTGCAGGTGGGCCCTGCTGGGCTGGGAGAGCAGCTACACCAGACCTCTGATGCCTTCTTCCCTCTGGCTAGCACCTGCTTGCTCAGAGATCAGAGCTTCCGGGAAGATCAGCCTAGCCCTCTGAAGGAAATCCAGGCAGGCAAGAGGCCTAGACCCCAGCAGGTACTTGTAGGGCTGGGAACTTAGGGGAGGGAGGCAGAGAGCTATTCTGCCCTGATCAAGGGTTTAGGGAAAATCACTTCTCACACCATAGTAGTAGGTGAAACGGGCTGGGGGAAGGCACCTGGTGCTAGGGTGCAGGCTTCCTTCCAGAAGAGTGGGGGGAGCCAGTGAAGGGGAGCCCCAAAGTGACTCCACATGCTATGGCCGCTATCCAGGGAAACTCGGAGAAGAGGGCTCAGAAGAGGCTTTGCCCCTCAACCAAGTCCTCCATCTTGGCTGAGGCCAAGGGCAGTGCCTTGGCCAGTGATCACAGCACTAAGAATGAAGTGGCTCGAGAAGCCTGCCAGCTCTCAGCTCCTGGCGTCTCCCTGAAAGAGGCTGCAGACACTGTGGTCAGGTGCCTGACCCCCTTCTACAAGGAGGGCAGGTTTACATCCAAGGTAGGCGGAGTAGGCCTGGAGTACTTGGGTCAATGCGGGGGGGGGGCGGTGGCAAGGAGTGTGCACCCGTGGATGGAATAAGGCAGAGCAGGCCAGGCCGTGATCAAGACCAGCTTCTGCCCTTTCCAGATCTGCCTTGCCCTCAGGGGCTCCAGGGCTCCTTCCTCTTCCCTTTGCCTTCTAGGACTTGTTTAAAGGCTTTGCCCGCCACCTCTCACACCTGCTGGCTCAGAAACTCTCTCCTGGAAAGAGTGGTGAGTGCCAGCTTGGCCAGGGCCAGAAGGCACTGTTGGGGAGAGCAGGGGAGGAGATGCTGCCAGGAGACTGGTCCTTACTTTCTCCTGTTCCCTCCCCAAATCTGCAGTGAAGGAAGAGGCCCAGAGCCTCATCGAGCAATTTTTCCATGATCATGCCCGCTGTGAGAGTGAAGCTGACTGGCATGGTCTGTGTGGCCCACAGAGATGACCTGCCTCTGGCTGAACAGAATCAGCCTCCTTCCTACTCTGCCGTGGGGAGGCCCATGCCAGAGGTACCAACTTTCTCAGGATCTTACCCCCTCTGACCAGACCCCACTTTGAAGGTGTCACTAGACATCCAAGTCAAGGGGAAGGTCAGAGGTCAGCCCACCTTCCTGTTTAAAACCCCCATGGTCCTTTCTCACAGCCTGCTTCTCCTTGGTTTTCATGGCCAGATCCCCAGATTAGAAGGTTCAGGTAGTTTGGCTGCTATTTAGAGGGGAGGGGGTAACAGTGGTCCTCTGCCAGGGGGAGAGGTTCATTCCAGTCCTCATTGCCCTCTCAGCAGCAGAGCTCATTGGGAAAGAAATAGCAGCCATGCCCCAAGCCCTGCTCTCTGCTGCTCCAGAAGGCCAGGCCCTGTTGAGATGTTTGCAAGAATAAAGTCCTCCTTGTGGAGACACATGCTCACATACACAGGCCTTTTCTTGGGTGTTTTATTTGTGCAGAAGCAGCTTCATCCAGGCCCGAGCTGGCTCTAGAGCTGAGAGGGCATTTTCCCCAGGCTGGACGTCAGCCAAGTTCCTACAGCCCAGCTCTTTGTTCAGTCCACCTTAGAGTGAACGTGTCTGCTTACTTTCCCAGTGGAAGTCACTGAAGTCACAACCCGTGTGTTATAGCCCCCACATGGGGTTATGCTGCAGGTAGGTTCAAAGCAGGACCAGTCAGCAAAGACCAATGAAAGACTGCCCAGGGAGAGGCCGCTGCCTTATCTCCACTCCCTCAGAGGAGGCCTGGCCACTGAGTGGACACGCTGCCCTCCAGCAGGAAGACAATGGTGTGCTGTAACTCCTGGGCCTGCAGGGCACATAGACAGTTCAGTGCAGCCATCCGCCCCTCACCGCCCCTGCCACACACATGGCTGAGTAGACATGCTTCCTTCCTAGAGTCCATTAGAAGCCTTGACTCTCACCTGTGGTAGCTCCAACCAGATGGTCTGGGGGTTGTCAGCAGAGCCATAATTGAGTTCCAGGCCGGGGGGCCCATCTTCCTCCCGTGGGCTCAGCAGGTGGAGCCGCTGCAGATCTTTTAGGGTGATGGAGCAGCAGAGTTTCTGGGGTGGAGGAGGGTAGCAGTGAATGGTATGAGGAATGACCCAGGGGTCCCAGCCAGCACAAGAACAAGAATGCTACCTACCTGAGAGCTGGGGTCCATTAGGACCAGGTGTTGGCGGTTGAGCCCCAGGAGGAGCGGTCCAGGAAGGACCACTTTACTCACTCTCAGCACCACATACACAGTGTAGCCGAAGAGGGGCAGCTGGCTCATGGTCTCTGCAGTGGAGGGACAGGGCAAGAGAGTCTTGGCTGCAGATCTCTGGGAGCCGCCTCACTTTGCTTCACGGGAAAAGTGAAGGGAGACCAGGCAGAGAGGCCTGCTCACCTTCCCATCCTTGCCCCACCCTCCTGGGCCTTGAACCTCACAGCCAGCAAGCCTTTGCCACAGACCTACCGATAAAGCCAATCTGTGCTTTCTGCTGGCTGTATCCTTGCATCTGCCTCAGCTCCTGGCCCACCAAGTTCTCTATGTTGGCTATGTTCACCTGCCATTGCAGTGGCTTGGGAATGTAAGACCGCAGCTCTTGCCTAGGATGCACAGGTCATTAGGACCTGTGGCCATGGACCACCTGGCACAGGGTGGAGCATGTGGCACAGATAGGGTCCCAAGGGCCTTTCTCAGGAACAGGTTGGGGAAGGGCAGAAAAGACTCTAGGCCAGTCGGGTCAGGGCCAGGATAGGCTAAGTGGAGCAGCCTTGGCCCTAAGGAAGGAAGGTGGTAGGCAAGACGAGCCCCCAGGTTTGGGGGAGGGGTTGAGCTGAGTTCACTCACTCCGTTAGGGGACTCATGCTGGCTCTGTTGAGATGTTGGAGGGCAGCCAGCCTGGCAAGCTGAGCCTCTGCCTGGGCACTGACCATCAGCTTCCCTTGCAGGTAGTCCCGTAGCACCTAAAAGGGAGGATTGTGCCACAGCTCCCCCAGCAGCCGGTGACTTGTTCGTGTTACCATCCCTTCCAGTGGCCACAGGGCTTCGCTGTGGAGGGAGGCTGGAGGTTGCCTGGGTAGGAACTCCCCGCCCTTAGCAGCACTGCGCAGTACCTGGCCGTAGTGGGTCTCCGTGTAGGTGGGGTGATCAAAGTGCAGTGGGGTCTCCCAACCAAGCCGCCGGCTGTGCAGGCTCATGTCCTGGTCTGTCAGCACATTGTTGAGGTACTCCCGGGACGACAGCGGCCGAACTAGCTCACCTATAGAGGGGACCCAAGCCAGCACTGAGCAGACTGGCCCAGCACAGAATCCACGTTCCTGTGGAGTAGACGGTGGCCGAGGCGGGGAAGGCCGCCCCTTTCCCTGGGCTCACCTTCCCCTTTGATGAGGAAGAGGGCAAATTCCTGCACTTCCTGTGAGTCTGTGATGCCCATCTGTCCACACAGCTCCTCTAGCACTTCTCCTGCCACCTGGGCACGTGGACAGGACATAGTGATGGAGCTCAGAGTCCCAGAACACAGGCACATCGCCTCTTTCCTTGGGAGCCCCTGCTCACCGTGAATGTCTGTGTATTTGTCCTGTAGTCCACACCCCCAGGCAGGTGAATCAAAAGCAAACGGACTGCTTGTCCTTTCTGCCAGGTAATTTGTAGGGTTAGTCTCCAGCAATCAGAGGCCCCTGCTCTCCAGTCGGCACTGCCACCCCCACCCCCCACTCCAGGAGAGTCCTGAAAGGCCCATCTGACCAGAAAAGCATGCATTTCACCGGGTGGCGGCAGCTGCCGGCGCCCCCCATATTTAACTGTGCGCTGGAGGTTCTCTCGGCTGCTCCGGGCCAGCTCTGCAGAGAGCCAGGATGATGGCGGTCACCAGGCGTACCCAAGCCCCCTAACTGGCAGGGCATTCTCAGCCTGACGTCCCTCTCCCCACCCTGGATACCTTGGTGAAGGCTGCACTCCTGCAGGAACTTGGTCACATAGGGCATCAGCGTGGTGGACGGTGCAAAAAGGCCTGTGAAGAGGCTGAGGATGGTCCAGCCCAGAGCGCAGTGCTTCCTGCGTGACAGAGCTGGCTTCAGGCTGGCCCGACCACAGTGCTGTTCCCACCTGAGCCCTCTACTCTGTAAACTCCACTCACGGCTCAGGGTGGCCTGTGACTTGCTTGATGACCTGGCAGTACATCTCATCCCTGAGGTCTTCTTGGCACAGCTGTGGGAACAGGAAGAGCGAGTGGGAAAGGCAGGAAGAAGACCATAGAGGGGCTGCTGAGTGACGCCTGATGGGCCTGAATGAAGGTGACATCCCAGCAGGCACCTGGGATGCTCAGCCCAGCTGGTCACTTATTTTTATACCACATTGCAGATGGAACCCAGGGCCTTCAGAATGCTAGCTAATGGGGCTGCTGGAGAGAAGGCCCAGTTGTTGAGAGCTCTTGGTGCTCCTGTAGAGGACAAGAGTTCAGTTCCCGATACCCACGTCAGGCAAATCATAGCCACCTAGAACTGTAGCTTCAGGGGACCGAACATCTTCTAGTCTGTGCAATCACCTGTACGTGTGCATACACAGACACATGATTGAATCTTAAAAGGAATTCTAGACAGGGAGCTGGCAAAATGGCCCAGTGGGCATGAGGACATTCCTGACCAGGTCCTGCCTCAGCAAGTCGTGTGGTGGAAGGAGAAGACACCCTGAAAGCACAGGTTGTCCTCTAGTCTTGGAGCACACATGCAGAATAAGCAAGTGTAAAGTGAAATTTAACAGTTCTATACAATTGTGCTGTAGCATTGTGAGGTTCACAAAAGAGCCAAGAGCCGGTAGTGATCGCTGCCTTTTAACCTGCTTCTCTGGGCTGTTTTGGTTATCTTTGCTGACTCCTGGTCTCTACTGCATGCTTTTGGCCTCTCCTCCCACTCTCCGATCTGGTTCAGTTCCTACCTCCAGGCGACCCCATTTGTAAGTGAAGGACTTTAGATCTCCCATGTCTAAAACATCTGCCAGCCCAGACCTGCTTCTTAAGGCCCGACTGTGCTCTGGCTTCACACCTACCGCACACACACACACACACACACACACCTCTCCCCTCTGCTGCTGCCCCGGCCAGCACCGCCCCCCTTGCCTGGGGTGATCACAGTAATCTTTTTGTCCTTAAGCCCCTAGGATATCCAGCAACCTCCAGAGAGACCCTGTGAGATGTGAGCAGCGATTCCCATCCGCCATAGGTCTGACTAGAAAATCAAAGCTCCCGGAACAGTCTGACCCCATGCACCGGTCTCAGTCTGCCTCTTTCAGAGTGGTCTCAATGCTCCCGCCTTAGCAGCAGCCTCCACTCAGCCCAGCTGCCTCTCCTGTGAGATTGGACCCTGCCAGAGCTTAGCCTCCACAGAGTCTAGGTGCCTAGTGCACGCTGAGTGTTGAGAAGGAGCAACTGGAGACAGCGCGTCCTGAAATGTATTTGTAGAAGTGGTTACTGACGGCTCGGTGGGTGAGGGTGCTTGCTGCTCAGCCTGGTGACTAAGTTCCATGCCCAAGACCCACCTAACAGGAGAGAATCACCTCCGGCAAGTGACCCTCTGACCTCCACAGCTATGCTGTGGACGTACACACACGCTCTTATACGTATAAAATGGAGAGCTGGCACAGATGGCTGCCATATGAGCTAGAAGCCACCTTCATCTCTGTTCCTATAGAAACTAGTTGAATATTTGCTTTATATGGACTTTATTTTCAAGCACAGTAACTAAAGAGTGTGTTCCTGGGCTCTTAGGCAAGCACACATGCTTGTTCAATAGCAGAATAGCCTAGAACTTAGTGCCACGAGCCCTTCTGAAGATAAAGTAGTTTGAAACAATTGGGAAATGGGCTGGGGGAGTCCCACTCAGGCCCAGGCAGGAGCACAGGGAGGACACTCGGGTCTGAGCACATGGGGCTTACCTTCAGCAGCTCATACAGCAACGCCAGCTCATCCCTGCCCCGGGGCTTAGGCTGGTCCCCCATAAACTGCATCAGAACTGCGGGCAGGATGCAGAGCACAGTAAGCAGGCCTGGCCCAACCAGTGCCACCCTCTAAGGCCGCTTGACATCTCACGCCTTACTCTCCAAACACACACACACCAGGTAGGGCAGTCGTGTGTAACTTTGCTGAGGAGGGAGGAGGCTCAGAGAAATCCCAAGGGTGCCCCTGTCAGCTGAGCCCATCGCCTGACCCAGATGCCACACAGCCCATGGGTGGAAACACAAGCTTCCTGTATTTGAGGATGGGCAAATAGGGAGCACTCAAAGAGATAGGGGGAACCAGGTGCCCAGGTCCAATGTACTGTGCCCATGAGGGCCAAGGTTGCCTGCAGCCGCTCACCCTTGAAGCCGGCCACAGCTTCCCTGTTTGTGTCCTCATCGTTGAAGCTAATGAGGGATTCCTGGATGGGGTCCTGTGGCCAAAGAGCATTAGCTATGAATCTAGGGCCTTGGGGTATCAGAAGGCAGACAGATCCTAGAGCCAGACTCCTCCCCTGCCTGGCCCCCTTGCCTTAGTGTACTGGATCAAGTTGACTGCAGCCTTCTCCTTGGTGCCTCTACCTGTCTGGGTCAGCCTGCAGAGGGAAAAACAGCCCTGCTTGCTTGGCCCTCCTGCCCTTGTCCCAGAACACGAAGCCCATGGTAAGATAAATGGCCCAGTGGCTCTGTGGGCTTTTACTGGGGAAGGCCGAGGACAGATGGGCACATCGGTTGGTTCAGAGCACTCACCAGGTAAGAGGCTTCCGGAAGTAGCGCAGGGCAAATTCCTGCATGGTGTAGTTGTGGGAGTCAGCAGACAAAGAGCTGTAGACTGTTGAGGTGGCCTCTGAGTCCTCGCTGGGTTCTGGGTTCCTGGGATGGGTGGGGCGCTGGGAGCACAGGAAATTTGGTACCACCCCAGTACCCACCATCTAGCCCAGAGGCCCTGTTCCCACTCTTAGCCCCTGGTCCCCATACCCATTTAGACCCAAGAGGAGTGACGCCATAAGCCAGGAAAGTTGACGTTATTTATTAAACATCCTCTATGGAGGCACAGAACTAAGTACCAGAGTCAGAGGGGGTAGCTTACAGTCTTGCTGGGTAGTCAAGGGTGAGAAGTCAGGAGACAGTAAAGGATAGAAGCACACTGAGCAATGCCCACCAGGCCACGGGACATGGCAGCACCGGAGGCAACCCTGCTCTTCCCTTCTGAGACTCCTGGCAGGAAGACTTCATCACTCTACCTCTTCTGCCTTCCTCATCTCCTGAGCTGGCCCCGGCTCCTTGGGCAGCTGTGGCTTACTCTTGCGCTGCCAGCTGTTTCTCTGTCCCAGGGAAAAGGAGAGGTCGGGAGCAGCAGCTGGCTGTACCATGTCAGCAGGAAAGAGTCCAGAACGTCCCCCGGCAGAGCCAAACTGCCAGCCTAGAAGACATTCCCAGATGATGGTTCACCTACCTTGACCCTCTGTCCCTTGGCAGCCTCCCTCTGCCAGCCCTGGGGATACCTGGCTCTGGAGCGGCCACTGGCAGTAGCCTGATGAGGTCCCCACGGTGGAAACTGAGGAGGCTGTGGTCATCGGTGATGTAACTGCGCAGGGCGATGACATAGCCAGAGTCCTGCAGGCAGGTGGGTGAGCTACCGTCCGCCTGGGTGTCCTCCCATCCAGTACCCAGGAGTACCAGGGACTATGACCTAAACTCCCCGACCTGGGGAAGCCAGGCAGAGCACAAGAGCCCACACTTGCCTTCTTTAGCTCACTCAAGAACTGGTCCACCATGGCCTTGATGGCCCTCGCCCAGGCTGTGCGCAGAATCAGCTGCTCATCCTTCAGTGACAGCTCCAGGGTGGAGCTGCCGCTGCACTGTACAGCCAGCACCTCAGCGTAGCTGTGTAGAGAGCCAGGGTGTGAGCTACAGACCAATCCTGCCACCCCAGTCCAGCTCTGGGCCAGCTCACCTGTAGGAGCAGAGCGTCTTTAGCTGGTTCAGGTGGAAGCTGGGGCCTTGGGTCACCTTCAGCAGTCTCAGCCCCCGGTGTGACACACCCAGCATCTGGACATCACTGCCACTCTCACCCTGCCGGGAAGGCAAGTGGACCCGTCATGCCCCTGGCACTGCCCAGATACCTGGAAGCCCCGAATACAGAGTTCCCACGCTGAGCTGCGTCACACTCCCTAAGCCAGCATCACTGACCGACACTGGGAAGATTCGTGAGAAGTAATTGGCCCAGTTGTCTCGAGCAGCAACCACAATGCGCTTTTTGATGCTGTCTTCAACAGTGTCGAGGGAGTCCAGGCCCACCTCCAAGTTTCCTGTGGGCAGGAGGGGTCCATGATAGCCTTGTTCCCATGACACTTGCCCTCGAGGGCAGGCCCAGCCCCTGCACCCCAGCTCCCAGGACCCATACCCACCCAGAAGGTCTTTCATCTTGTGCCGCTCATCCTGGGAGATCCGGATGCAGGACTCTGCAAAGGTGTCCCGCAGGATCTAGAGGCCGAGCAAGGTGGTCAGCACCAGGGCCTGAGACCAGAGCTCACCCACAGCAGCCATGGGTGTGTAATGCAGAGGGCCCGGTGGTGGTGCCTACATACCCAGCAGTGCTGGCTGGGTCCCTCTGGAGACACAGGTGCGACAGGCAGGGTTGGGGAGGACAACAGAACAGGCTCCCGAAGCCCAGGATCATGTCCAAACCTATATGCCTCCCCTCCCCCTCCTACATCCACTGCACAAACACACACATTATTTTTTTTTTTTTTTTGGTACCTTGGTCTGCTGCTCTTGGCATAGTGTATCAGCTGAGATACACCACCCTGCCAAAAGTGACCAAGTAATAACTACCATTTATGAAGGACCTAGTGTGTGCTACAGCCTGTGCCATGTACACTCTGTTTAGCCCTCTCATTTGTAAAACTGAGTTGATCACCGTCCCCATCTTGTATGGACACTGTGAGGCAGCGCTGTCCACAGGCACTGCCCTCTGAGTACCAGCCGTTACTATGCTGCTCACGGGCTGTTAGCCAGGCCCAGGTTTGAGAAAGGGGCCCTGGGATGCAATCTCTCTGTGGGCTGTGGACAGGTTAGAGGTGGCCAGGCTCTCACCTGCTGGCAGAGAAGGCTGAGGCAATAGGGATGGCTGAAGTTCTCCCGGGGATAGAACACCTAAAGCACGGTAGAAAAGACAGGAATCATGCCAGGCTGGCTCCTCCCGTGCCCACCTCTGCCCTCCCAGGCCCGCCCTGGAAAACCAGCCTTGAGAGAGTGGTTCAAGTGGAAGGGGATGCGCTGAGGTTTGGGGCTAGGATCTCACACAGGCTGCCCTGCCAGCCGCAACAGGCTGAGCTCCACCCCCATGCCCACCCACCTCCTTTCGTAAGAACAGCTTCCAGGGTGCATTGGCGTAGGAGAAGCACACACTACCAGAGGGCACGTGGAGCTGCGTGGAGATGCCCTTGTCGTCCATGGGCTCTTTCAAGGCTAGCGAGGAAGAGTGAGGAGCCTTCAGGTGAGGCCTGGAACTGGCATGCCAGAGACCCTCATGCTCGCCCGTTTTTCTCAGCCTCCAACCACCTTCAACTGTCACTCTGGGGACCATCTCCTGCCTTCATATCTTGCCCTGAGTTTTTTCTCGTGTCCCTGACCACTAAGCCCCCCCACCCCCCAAAAAAACCCACTTGTCACGTGCACATCAAGAACAACACCCTATAAAGGTCAGTCGCTTAGTACCAGACAGCCTCCAAGGTGCCTCAGCCCTGTCCTGAATAGGAATGGGGAATCTAAGACTCCAAAGTCCAGAACCCAAACAGCTGGCCTCGGCCAATCCAAGGGGGATGACTTTGGCCATGGGTCCCAAGAGGCTGTCATGAGTGCTGCCACCAACCCAAAGAGGCTCGACACTGGGAACAGATTCCTCACCAGGAGACTCTGCTGAAAGGGTCTTGGGTTCCTCAGGCAGAGGCAGTGGGGGTGCTAGTGGAGGTGGGGGTGCCGGAGCTGCCGGTGGGTTTGGGCCACATGGGCCAAACAAGTCCCGAAGGGGCCCCTGCTTTTCCTGGATGGATATGGAAGGCTCAAGTCTTGGCCGAGCCTTAGGTCGAGGAAGCACAGCTGGCGGAGAAGCCTTCCCTGCGTTAGGTGACACTGTCTGCAGAAGAAGCCACAAGCCTACGGTCAAGGCCAAGTTTAACCCAAAAGCCCAGGACTCCTGAGCAGATCAGCCCATGCCCTGGACAGGAAGGTGGGGGCCTCACCGATGGGGGCGAGTGGGCACCGTTTATTCCTAACTTAGCCAAGGCCTCATCTTTAGGATCATTTTTCTTCTGAAAAGTTTTAACAGGCCTCATGGGAGAGAGAAAGAGAGAGTGTTACTAGTGCACAGGGCAATTCCCCCAGGAGAGAAAAGGCTCTGGCCCCAGACCCCGGGGCCCACCTGGTGGGTTGCACAGGCACTGGCACAGGACCTGGGCGGCTCTGGTACATTCGGATGATGTTGCGGATTTCCCTGCTGGGTTGCAGCCGCTCAGGTGTGGAGTCGGAGCTGTGCACTGTGGGTTTCTTGCTGGGTTGGGGGCGCTGAGGTGTGGAGT